TTCTCTTTTCTTTTCTACTTTAGTACTTTGCTATTTATCTACACATTTTCCAATTTTATTGCAAACAGCTTGCACTTCGAATTCTTCAAATAAGTTCTCAGGTCACCACGCTTGGTAAGAAAAAAATGTGAAAATATTACACATAGATAAGCGATATCATAAGTTTCATCGTTTGCTGAGCTCTTTTTCGCAAAAACATCAGAATTACTGATTTTGAGATTCTATGCGAAAAGACTTGCGAGGAAAAAGGCTTCAAGCAAAAATATTTTTGGGGTGAAGGGGGGAGGGGACCTGCCGCAGCGCAAATGTCTCCATGTTTGTTGTTTTCATAAGTTACAGCATACTTCCATCGTATACAGAGAGTTCCTACAAAAATGATTAGAGAACCAAGTCGAAATAATTTTTATTACCATCCTCAAGAAACGTTAGGGTTTGATAGCATCTATGATACTCTCTGAATCTGCATTTTGACCTGACAAATGCTCACACAGGCAAGGAAAACAAAATCTCAAGTGTAAACCAATTCACCAAAACCTCCTTCGATTAACGATTTCGCAGTAGTCAATCTTGGGTGAAAGCAAACCAAACACGAGACTAAGGGAAAAAACTCTTCATATGTTAACAGTTGTCGTTTTTCTTGCTCAATGTAATTCATCTCATTCAAATGGACTTTGGCGCTGCTTCGTGAGCACTTTCCACCCAATCTTGTAAGTTTTTGTGTGTAAGTGTGCATTTACCGGGTAAATATGTGTGATTTTATTTATTTATTTAGCTCTATGAATGATCAGATTCATCTGGTCTAAAACTAGATATAAATGTAGTCTGACAATAAGTCAGTGCACATGCACTATTAGTTTCACCGTTGCTTAGGAAATGGTCACGAGACGCACGCCTTCATGTGTAGAACTTTCTTGCTTTTCTTCTGCTAGTGTTATAAAGTAATATCCTATTTTTTTTTAGTTTCGATGGCTTGCCGAATTGATTAGTCGGGAGTATCTAGTCATATTCGATAAACCATTCTGTCACTTTGACTCATTTTCTATAAGTTTAGTTTGACAGCGCGATGGATTATCGTTTTTAACTCTAATATCTTTGCTCAAAAAGGTCCTCAGCTCTTACAGTGAAAATAGCAAATAGCCGTTTTCTGTTCTACCCGCTTAAAGCAGCTTTCTTGGAAAGTTCATACCTCAGAAAGCACTTTTCTTCCTCCTTCTGATGCTTGAATTAAGTTTCTGTAAATTTACCACTGAAAATCTTTAACTTCAAGTATTATACTGCCTGAAAGCAGGTTATTTCAAAGAAAACTCTCATGCCGTTTGCTTGAAGAATTTTTTAAGAAACAAAACTACGCTAGCTTGCTTCTAGCTATGAAATATTCTCTATAAATTCCGGGATTTATGTGTCTACCAAAATGTCCTTTGAATTTTTTGAGCGAGCGTCAGGATAAATTGCACGCTTGGGAAAAATTATTTGTTAGTTTGATTTCTCGCTTTTCTATTGTCGCTTTCTTTGTAAAGTCAAGCGTCTAAATAATAAAAAGAAGTTGCTCGCACCTTACAAATAAAGCCTGAAGTATCTCGATTTTGAATCAAAGACAATTTTTTATAATGTAACTGAAATTACGAGCAACTAGTACATACATTCTATGCACTCAGCGGTAGAGCAGGTTTTATTGGGTATATTTTCTTATTAGAAAAAGGGCATTATTGTGTTTTGTTGCACTCTCATTGCCCGGAAGACTGTAATGGGTGAATGAGTCACGCATTCTGTTCCATCGCTTCAAACTGCAATGACTGAAAGTGATAAAATTCAGCACCGGCATTTACCGTAATGTTTCGATGGACATGACTCATAGTTTAGCGCAATGGAGGACACCTGAACTACTTTCTTTGGCGAATAGCCAACCACTTACATATAATTGAATTGTTGAATATTTTACCGTATTACAAGGTCAATTAGCTCCAGTCATGTAAGGCGATTGTATGCGTTCGCTACCCATCGTTTAACGGCCGATTCGCAGTTCGGCCAAAAAAGCGGGCTAGATTGGTTCAGTTTGTTCGGCTTTGATGCGATGGTGTTTTGTTCATTGTTGTCCTGTTCCTGGTTGTTCGCATGTATTTTTTTGGTTTTTGTACCGTCAATATATCTGCTATTTTCAAGGTTTCTGATCTTTCTGGTATAATTCTGCAAAAATGTGGATGATATTGTACTCTGACAGTTTGTACTCACGATAAATGCCAGAAGTCCTAAAGGTTTAGATGACGTGATCTTTATCCTCTAATTCCGTACGAAGTTAGAAATAATCGATGCTCCAATATGCATTTATAAAATCTTTATTGTATTATCTGTCCCAAATTTACTACTTTTGCAACTTTCCATAATTCTTCATGCCTACCGAGTCCATGGAAATTTCTTATGAAAAATGTCAAGCTTTGATAGAAGATTTTTTATTCATTTCACAAAAACTAGGATTTTTACAGTCAATAAAAAAATAGTTTTAATTGAGATGCTATAGAAAAATGCAATTTTAGAGCTGACTTCTTTTGCTAGTTTTTCGTAATTGTTATTCCGATAATGATTTGCAAACCCTAGACAACTTTTTTGATGGAGTGCTTCTTTTTATACAATCATGTTTCAAAAATATGAAAATCAATTTTCTTCTCGATGGTAAGCTTTCAAGACTGTTTATTTGCTGTTTTCTGTGGGACCCCAATCAACAAACAAAAAAATTTGATTGCGTCAAGGCAGCCATAAAATCGTCTGTCTTTGCGTTTTCCTGATTTTGGCTCATCGCCAATTGATCGAATGCTATAGACGAAAACCGTTTACGAGTTGAATACGATACCATAGGTTGACGTAACGTTGGTCGAGGTCAATGTGTTCGTGCTCGCACCTTGACCTTTGCTTGCTTGGTTGTAAGACGACACCCTGCTACAAGGCAAACTTCTCCTTCTATCGGCGGCTGTGTACCCTCTGAGTCATCACGACCTAGATGTTCGGCATGTTTCATCTTCGCTAGCTCTAGTTTCTCGTTTCCTCGAGGCACTTGCCGTTGTCACTTTTTACCTTTCTTGAGCCTTGGAGCTCTTTTGATCTTCAGTAAATTTCCAGATTATCAACACACATGCTCATCAAAAAGATACACTTTCGCACTGTGAAACTCTCAGCAATGCATGAGTTTGAACTTAAAAGAATAATAATGATATATTGGGGTTAATCAATAAAAATGAATAATCGCTGATACCAAGTTTTTTCGAATATAAATAGTGTGTTGCGCGTACCAAATAAATATTTGGAAAGCACCTGAAAGGACTCTTTTGCATGTCCGAGGGATAACTGATAAAGTCTTATTATTTTTCCCATTTTTGGAATTATTAAACTTGCTCTCGAAAGTTACTGCAACGTTAATTTTTTTGAACTCCTGATTTTTAACAATCAAATTCAAGTACGCTCTTCTCCTGCTTCAGCCTCTTGCGCCCAACAACGCCCAACAACGCCTTGTAAGTGCAGTAATCATGTGCGCGATTTTATTCCTCAAACAAAAATTTAGTCGTACAGATCGGCTACGATATCAAAATGCCATAAGGTTTTGTTGAAATGATGCGACAAGGTTGTTGTGACCACTCCGTCGAATAATAAGTTAGATAGCGGTCAAAAATATTGTGATGACTTGGCGGAGGGTTTTTTTTTTGATAATTCACGGTATGTGAGAGAAAATTTTGTTACAGCAAATGAAATAGGAAATAAATGGAAAACTAGTTGTTCCGCGAAAAGGTTACAGTTATAGACCACCCGCAATCTTCTCGCCAAGGAAATTTTACGGCCTCTAATTGTTTCCGAATTGGCATACTCGTCTAGTTTCTTGCCATTTCTCCTTGATTTTACAGGAGAAGGACTTCTCCAATTTGCAAATCTATTCCATCACCACGGAAAACTTTATGAAATTCCAGAGGTTTTCTGTTTGTCTCATTCACTAACTTGTTGCTAATCACATCTTTTTCCTTTGTCTATGATTCGGTGAATAAATCGGATGATTGATTTATGACGCATTGCTGACAGTGACTGGGATTGTAGCATCGTTCGAAATGTTGATGTGCCTCCACTGCTTATAGCTTTGGCTATTTGCACAGCGTCTCAAATCCAAACAAGTTTATTTTAGTCGGTGTAAACAATGCTTTGAAATATGGGGGTGAGCCACAGAAGCTCAACATGAGATTAGTCAGATTACATGGTTCCGAAGAAGGAAGTAGATTCCTCTTCCTGTTCTTAAGACTCCAAAATTTCGTAACCGTTTTACATTAATTTCTTCTTTGTGGAACTTTTCTGAAAAGGATAAATTTATTTAGCCTGGACAGTACCGCCTACACAATTCTTCGAACCTGAAAATGCCATTCCTACTATTTTCTCCAGCCTGACCATCTAATTTCAAATTTTCGAGGAAAGATAAGTTGTCTAGATTGCTTGTCCACTTCCACCACAGGTATCTCATAGAAAAATTATTTTGCTGTCGATTGATGGGAAATTCTCATTAGTTTCACATTTGCACGCTAGTTTCAACTTTCACAATGCCACATGTCTCAAAGTATCAATTTCTAAACGAAAAAAAAAGTTCTGGTAGCTGTATAAATTTACTTTTGTTTATTTGCATTTCATTATTTTTGCAAGTACTTCAACGAGCACACTATATACAGTTCTAACATTAGCTTCGACAAGCTTGAAATCAGTCGGTTAATCAAATATCTATCTATATCTCTGAATATAATACACTTGAGTTTAGCCATAAACAGTCACACAAACAAAAAGAATGGCGATTTCATATATTGGGAACGAGACAGTATCAGCTCTCAAGTGGTATTTATGCATTATTTCGCATTTAAATTGAGTTTTTACCTTCTTTCGAGAAGAAGCAATGGAATTCGAGCGAGTGCGTCAGAAACACTTGATTTTTGCACTCATAATCCCGTTTAATATCGTCGATATTAACATTTCTCACATCTGATTGACCCGTCTCATACTTTGTCGTCCAATTTCATTGTCCATTTTCTACCTATATTTACTACTATTTCACCAGAAATGAAGTTGTTATTCGTGTTATTCGCACTATTCGCTATTGCACAAGCCGACTGGTGGGATTCCTTCACTGACACAATTGCCGGTGGTTTTATGAGCGCTGCTAAATGGGTGAAGGAAACTGCCAGCCCAGCGATTAGGTAACTTTGTTTATTTACCTTCAAATATGGTTCATGGACGACATCTCTAGGTTAATCTAGTGACACTTTCAGGGAGAAATTTGACAGTGCAAAAGCTTCCCTTCAAGATCCAGAAACTCATAAGACAATACGGGAATGGATATCTGATGTAAGAAAGTTGCTCTTTTTTTAAATTGTAAAACTAGCTCGAATTTTCTTTACCACAGTGTCGTATCCTTCAAAGCAAAAAGTGATCCTCAGTAGCGCTAGACATCCGAATCTATATGCTTAAATCATTCTCCTGTCCAAGAATCGTGCTGCTCTCTTATGGAAGAAAATTTATTTGAAAAAAGTTTGCATGCTCCCCTAAGATTGATTTTTATTTGGCAAACAAACACTTGCCGTATTTTAACAAAAAATAAGTTTCTGCCTAGTTGAAAATTCGTCTGTTCAGTATCAAAAATAGCGTTTTATATAACTATCAATCCAAACAAAAAACCCCCAACCTAGAAATTTGAGTCATAGCAAGCCAAGGCTACACGTCGTCACTTTGAAATCAGCTCTAGTTCTAGAAAAATTTCATAATTAGAAATTGGAATAATAATCGCTGAATTCAAAAACATTTCTTGTAATCATCCAATTTTTCTTCAAAATAAATTCGATGATTGATTTTGATCAAAGCGATGCCACATAATGTCTTCAATCAATTGCAAGCAACCGAGACCTGTGTAATTTCTCGAAAAACCATGACTGATATCGCTCGAGAGAAACTGAACGTGCAGGGTTTGGAGTGACTTTTCTTTGAGATTTTGATCAAAACTCTCTTTCGACATCAAAGTGGGAGTTGGCAATCTAATTCGAATCAATGTTTTTGATATGCTGACAAGAATTATGCGCTCTTAATTGACAAGCATCTCTTACTGCTTATTACTATCAGATGAAAGTCACTAATAAAAATAAATGAAATTTGAAAACAATAATCAGACTATAAGCAATCACTGTTTAATCAGACTATAAGCAGTCCTGCGCCAGTAGAGCGTCACTTTTGAAGAATTTTTACTGTCCTGTACATATTTTTACTGTACTGTCCTCTTCGCCCGTAAGACTCAAAAACTCTGGGCAAGTCGTAAGCAATTTATTTGACCCTTTGATTCAACTGGCTTGGCGGCTGGAAGGCGGGGCTTTGTGATCTAATTAAAGCTAGGTAAAAGTCAGAGAGCACGCATGCGGAAGAGACGCAGACTGCGTCGCGGGCGCGAGTGGACTCAATTAGCTCACAAAGCCCCGCTCCAGCAGCCAATCCAGTTGAATCAAAGGTTACATACCAACTTGCGACAAACCTACTTGGACACTTTCTCTCCGAACAACTGTTTAACAAAGTTAAAAGAGTTGGAATTCGAAAAAGTCAAGGAAACACGCTCTTTATTCAATTTCGCAAACTAGTTTCGCAAGCCAAACATAACGAGTGTTTATTGCTCGCAATCCTGTAGTGTATTTGCTTTATTTGCGATGGTCATAAAGTATGTATGTAGGTGCGGGGCAGTACCGAGCGACTACGACTCAATTAAGATTCTATTTTTGGCTTGCAAATAATCCGCTTAACGTTTAGGTACTTTTCCGTTATCCGGACCCATTTTTTTAAAAAGCTCTTATAAAATACTTTTTGTAGTCCAAGCACAAATTTTCACAGATTCTACGAGAACTGCCTCCCCGCCACGTGTCAGGAGAAAATTGACACGTTCTAAACCACTTTGACATGTTTATTCGAAATCATTTCCGGTGAGATAAAAGAGCATTTGTAACCACTCAAAAGCTGTCCAGCTGATTTACATAAGAGCAAATCAATCTAGGACCATTACTAGAATAACTTGATTGCTTCTAGCTGATTCGAAAATGTATTTCTCTTCAGACTTTCCGCCATGCAAGTTTAGCCAGAAGCGTCTACAAATGATGGCTTGAAGTAGTACATTGGTGCTGCTTTTCGCCGCTTACATGATAGAACCCTAGCGCACTTCTCTATTTTGGGCATGTATAGTATGTTCATTGATAAGAGGGCGACGTTATTATTATAACAATGTCATTTTTGACAATATTTAGTCGAAAATAGGGTCATTATTGATCAAAAAAGGTTGAACTTATGTCGCTAGGTAGGGCAACACGAACTCTTGGTAAAACTTGTTAAACATGTAGATGGCATGTCAAGTTTTTTTGACACGTGGCAGAAGGTTGACACTCTTTCCTACGAAGTTGGGAACATACATGGTGCAAGGAAAGAAGCAGTATCCTTCTTTGAAAAAATGGGTCCGGATAACGGAAAAGTACCATCGTTTAAAATGGTGGAGGAACGAACACCTCCAACAGGCACCGCCTTTGCGGACTACCGGTCCCAACACGATGCACAACAGTAGGACGAAAGGACCACAGCCCGCGGAGGCTTGTCTAATTTAGTAATCGTTCCTTTACCCGCTATCTGACTGATATCTTTCTTTTCATTTATAGTAATGCTGACGCATTATCCTTATAAATAAGAGAATCTGTGAGAAAAACTTTGGTTATCCTTATGCATCAATACTGACTCATTTCAGAAGGCCGAAAAGGCATCACAATTTGCTAATGAAGAGGTTATTCCTGAACTGCAAAAAATCTACAAAGCAGCGACAGCGGACGACGACAAATCCACTACAGAGCGGACAGTCGAGATTGATGACTAGCACATTGTTTTTCTATATGAAAATATTGCTCCTTTTAATGTGCCTCGCTTCAACTGAACAATTTTGAGGTCTTGCTCCATAGCTGCGCACTTCTTATGCTACAATTATTTTTGTACAAAATCGCTCTAATTATGCAAATTTGACCAGGAAGAAAGCGACTGGCCTGAATAAATAAGACGGGTTCGCCTCACACGACTCGATATCACGATGTAATCTTCAGTCATTTTATTCTCAGTGCATGTTATATGTTCTTATACTCTAGGAGGCACAACTGTGCGAATGACAGTTTCACATTGAATTATCGATGTTCTCACGTTGATCGACTTATGCTGATAAAACGCTTTGCTTCACTTCGCTTCACTTCTCATTTCATTTAGAGTTCGATTATGATTTTATATTAATACTAGATCCACTTGCGAAAATATCGTGAAAGTCTTTTTTAGACTGCAAACAGGTGAACGGGTTCTTGATTCGCCATAAAATAGCGATAGACTTGTGAACAGGGGTAAGCAGAGAATTAGATGCACACTAAGCTACCCTATTTTCAGGTGTATAAGCCGCGGGGTGGTCTTAGCTCCTAGCTAGCTTCTCCTTACATCGACCAGCTCGAACACATCAAAAGACCTCGCAACCAAAGGACCCTACACCGTGCTGCGTATTGCCTGAAAAAATCGTGCGGCATAAGGATCGTTTCTCGAAACACAATGGAGCGGTTAAGCAGCTTGTGGGAAAATTTGAAAAAGTGGGGCTTATACACCTGAAAATAGGGTATATCTTTAGGGCAAAAAGGGAAACGTATGAAACACGGTGTACAACCAGAAAGGACCTCTCACTCATTTGTTTTGCAACAGCAGGACCACTTTTTCAAAAATTAACTTCCTATGTTAGTATACTGCCGTAAATGTTGCCTCACAAAAATCGGCGTACTCTGAATGCAAGGTTGAAATAAATGCCTAACGCCTAATAAATAGGTTTAGGGTGGGCCAGACTACACGGCGTACACCCCATATCTTTATGCACATGTGCGTACGCAGCGTAGCATATCGGTACTTTATCTCGCGACGAATAACTACGGGATTCAACCAAAGTTCTCTGAAACTCCGGAGCCGGCGTTTTGATCGGGAGATCAAGGCCCCAGACAAGGTGATTTCCCGCATTCATACAGACTGGAAGAAAATTTGAGCTTTAACGCGAAAACAAATGATGCTCTGATATCTAATTACAGTGCAACTTGCGCAACATTTGTGTTAAGAGTTCTGTGGAATGCGTCTCACACTCACGGTTTTGAGTTTATCTTTGTTTATTGATTACTGAATACATGTGATGTGCGCCAATAGAAGAAGAACAAACATAACGAAAAAGTGTAGGCAAAGTTATCAACTCTCAAACAAAAACCAATAAGCATTTCAGCATCAATTGCATTGTCACCTCCGCTCACTATAGCAGCTGTTGTACGAATTATCAAGTTTGACTTTAGGCAGTCCCATGTCTCTCCATGTTCTTTGATTTGTAAGCACCTCTGGCTCTAGGGAGCAGATACCGAGGTGAATAGGCCGAACAATGCGTGCTTCAAAGGCATATCTTCCTATTATTCACAATCCTATTCCACAAGAAAAGTTCTCAGGTCAGCTCGGCCAATCTGAATGATGCGTATATCTTCGTGAAGCAATTGAAACGGTGCTTTAACTGTCGTATCTAGCTGAGGAACGGCTCTGTAAAGGGAGTCATGAGTCTTCTCTGGTGTGAGGCGGCTATAACATATCAATGCTTGTTTAAAGAGTGTAAAGAAACACAACACGATGGCGTTGGCACATGATGACTTGATTGAGCAAAGAGTCATGTATTTGAATCCTATAGCACGACGCTTTTGCACTGTCTGCAGGATGTAAATTCGATCATGTAAGTGAATTTTGAGCACCTAAACTCAAAATTTGCCACAATGGAAACCCGAAAACTAAAATAATATTCTTAATATTACTATGCAAGTGAAGATTTTCAACATAGGCACAGCTGACTATCTAATGCGGCCTCAGAATTCCTGTTTCATGGAATTTGCTGAGATTTGATTTATGAGGCTTTATCGACATGCTGTTTATTTATTTATTTATTTAATCAATACGCACAAAGCGTGCCATAATTGGAACAAAGAGCAGAATACGTAGAGCATGAACAGTAAAAAAAACAAAACATCCCCAAAAGCTCAAGTCCAGCTCCGTGAGTGGAAGGAGGTTAAGCCTGTAGACCGTGTATGAATATCAGTGCAGATGCTCGGTGCTGTTCACAGACATCATATTTTATTTCCACGAAAACGCATCCATGTATGTCTGCAATAAGTATAGGTGCGTATTAAGCCCGTTCGTCTAGGCCGAAAATCAGCAGTGTGTCTTTTCAATTTTTGACTTTACTTACTACTTTGCCAGCCGTCACCAATGAGTGCTTCAATGTCGCCCGTAGACAAGGGCTGACATGTTGAAGGGCGCTGATAACGGGGAAAGCCCTCATAACTTCCTCCACAGAATTGTTGAATCAGCGTTTCGAGCGGTAAAAAGCTGGTTTTGTTTTAACAAATTTTCGGATCTATGGGTCAAAAATAGTTGTTGAGAGATCTGAAGTCAGTGCGAAGAAAATAAGGTACAGGAGAAAGATTGGGAAAGCAGTACTTTTTCGTTCAAAACAAAGCTGACTATGGAGTGATCAGAGATAGCGAGGGAAGCACAAATGCGTAGGTTCATTACGACTGAAATGAAGATAGAACAAGATCGAGAGTGTTTGAGACTGTGTTGGATAATTTACTAACTGTTGGGTAAAAGAGGATCCGTGCAGTGGAACTCTGCTTCCTATCGGAAGTGTTGAGGTCCTGCGAGATTGTCCTACTATAATTTTATGCTGCCGTGTTGCCATCACGTTCAATTTTTTCACTTCCTTTAACCGATCGTCGAGATGGAGGTACGGCAGCCCTTTCCTCATTTCTGTAGGGACGACCGGTCTTGGCTGCCATTAAGTCTATTTTGATCTACCTATATTTGAAAATCAATAATAGTATTATGCGGAAACTGCAAAACAAAAGGAAGTGACAAAAACAGTGATAAACCTACTTACTTTAACCAAGACTGCACGAAACCATTCGCTAGAAGGATGATTTTGCTGAACGATCAAGAAACAAAATCACAAAAAGTGCGAGTGCGGAAAAAAGCACCCGCTCGTTAAGTCAAAAGTGATGAAGAGTTTTATATGTAGTTGACAAAATTCAATCAATGTTTGCTGGAAACTTTTCACAACGTAGATAGTGTGAATTGAGTGACTTTGATTCTGCAGCTAGAAGTGTAATAACAAGAAAACGTCTGATTACAAGAGCAAAGCTATGGAGTTAAAACACTCCTCCCGGACATGTATAGTAATGATGAGAAAAATGTATAATTATAAAATGTAAGGAGGAAAAGCTGATATGCGATGAAACTGTCTTGATCTTCAAAGTTTTTCTTCGAATTCTCGTTATATCCGGACCGAGGTCGACCGGGTCGTGCGAATGCCTTTTTCTGGAACAAAGATGTCACTTTGAAGCTGATGTGGTTATATTAATATATCACCATCGATGGATGAGTTGATTCGTTTCGGGCTCAAACCTATATGCGCACGTCTGCCCTGAATCGAATATATATAAATACACGGCTTATCAACTGCAGTATCGGGAGTACCAGCATCTTCGCTCCCGGACGGACGCTGCATTTCTTTCGCGAACATGCTCTCTGGTCACTTTCCCACCGCGAGCATGTTAAAGGCGGTGCCTCAATCGACTGAATATGATTAGAGAGCATGCTCGCGGAAGAGGTGCAAAGTCCCGCGTGGGAGTGGAGATGCTCTACACCCGCACTGCAATGGATAAGCCCTGCATGTGCATATGATGTATTGGAAGTGTGTAGATAAAAACCTAAAGGCCTCTCCTAAATGCCACGCTGCGAACTATTCCAAATGACTCTCCCTTCCACCAATTTAACAAAAATCTTCATTCATTCGCCATCGTTTTCTACGAGCCTATGCCACAAACTTAAAGCAGATTAAATTGATGAGTTTCACAGTTTTTGCTGTACCTCTTAGCTTTTCGTGCTTACCAAAAGAAGCTCATCCGTAAATGAGTAGGCCAAGTGCGTCTAAGGAGAGTTTGAAACAAAATGTTGTATATTTCAACTAGAGAAGTGAAATCACTGAATAGGAGCACTACCAAACGTTTTGGAAACTACAGCTTGTCAAAAGGTAGCGAGTTCTAAAAAGATTTTATACTTGTATACGGTAATTGGATATACATGTTAACTGAAATCCCAGGGGAATAACTGATGTGCGGTAAAACAACTATTAGTTTCGGGAAGTGGTGTTTCTTTCATTACGAAAAATCCAGATTGATATGCGTTTAACATTGATGAACTGAGTGATCTAAGGGAGATCTCATTTCTTTATTCAGCATAAGACCAGAGGATGACCGCTCTATGAGCAACGCTTTGGATAAAGTACAGAAATGAATTCCAAGCCATTCCGAATCTTCTAGTAATTTGCTTTGATAGTCAGCTCGGCGCGATTTTCAGCAGAATTATTGCTTTGTTTAAGTCACTCTAAGAAATCGGAATGAGCATTGAACATAAGTATCTCTAAAAGTTACTCCGCAAACACAAAAAATAATATAAACTCAATTTTTTTATTGAGTCAAGTGATATTCATAGATAGCCCCTTACATGCGTAGTATAGAATAATACATGAAAGTGCAATTCTCCGCGATGAAAAGGAAAGCAAAAAATACATTCAACTGAGATATTTATTTGACATTCCGTTTAGATATTTGCTATTGACTCCAATAAGGATCGAATGACTCATTAATGTACCTCTCGCTGTCCAACTTCGTACCTCCCTACGATATGTCTCCCAGAAGTACGTTGTTGCAACACATACTAGATATTAACGAAGGTGAGTCAAGGTGGATAAAAATGAGTCATAGTTCAAGGGAAGAGAGCAGGAGAGGTTGATTATATGAATCGACTGACTAATCGTCCGCGGGTATTTCTGATCGAGCTTCTTAGATTTCAAATTCCTTACACGGTTCCACCAGAATTGAATGAGGTACTAAAGTTACCGTTCTTGGCCCAGTTCTGTATAATCACATTATAACTTTCGGCTAGACATTTCGCTCTCCTGTCAGACTCTGTATAGCGCTGCACATTTGATATTGTTTTTTTTTTTTGAAACGACTCAACTAGC